GACAAATTTCGTGCGTTATGATTGGCCAACGTGTTGCAAACTCTTGGTGGCGCACTATTGTGAATCGCCCGAATTCTGTGTAATAGTCGATTAGTCAGCCTTTCATTTGATGCACCAGTTCTATATTTAGATTGTATGCCTTGTGATTATTCCACAAAACAGAAATTCTAGTTGGTAATATTTAACAGGCTAATTTTGACCACAAGATCCATATTCTGTCTACCTTTTACTCACCTCTTTTATGTGAAGACAAAAATGCACTTTAATAAACGTCAAAAGTTGTGATTTTAATTTCTGCGAGTACAAAACCTTAAAACCTGTCTTGTGTAAAACGTCTCTACGATTATCTGAAGCAGAACCACAGATAATGAGGCCAGTGGCGTGCATCAGTTGGTGATTTGATAGCTGTTTGAGATTTTTCACTCGAAACATATACTTTTATACTGAGGCCCCTTTCACTGTGAATACAAAAATCATTCTTAAAAATGATGTCATGTTATCAGTCTGTATAGAATACAAATTTTAAGATATACAGGTAGATAATTGAATTAATAGAACCGAATGGTAAACTTACCGGCCAGTTCTTCTCTTGAGATTAAAATGTTGAAAACTATCCACAGAAATAATTCCATAATAATTTGTGAGTGTTTTGATGTACATCCATACAAAAACGTCAAGATCAGTGATCAGTAAATCAATGTGATTTAGTATATTTCCTCGATTATTGTGAATTAGGCAATTTACACAATGTCCCCGTTTGTTATTCAAAAAAGCATGGTCGTTTGGGAACAGAACACGCGCGAAAGTACGCTTTGGGCCGCGCTGAAAGGGGGGATACGCACGTCCAAATGACCTCGAATGCACCTCATTTTGGGCATGTGCTGTTGGAATACCTAACTGGCTCACTGGGTTGCAATTATAGTACTTGCGCTGTTATAAAAGTGTTGCATGCCTCCATGTATAAGGCACCTTCCCTGAAAATAACAATGTCTTTAGGATTGCTTCTACCGAAGTCTTACTCCCAGTAAAGGGACCTTTGGTTGTTTTTCTGTAAACGAACTGTGCTTCACCGAGAACAGTTCAAAAATCACAGCCGAAGTTAAAAACAAAAGTGAAATGCACTTACAACATGAAATGTCACTTCCGGGCCACTGTGGCGTGACCTCCATGAAGATCAAAGCCGTTGATCATTTCGCTTTTTGACCTCGCAAGGTATATTCTCACCCGTCTAAAACCCAAATGAAAACACATGCTAATACACAAACTCGGGTATGGCTTGCCAACAATATGAACGCTATAGATGAAGCAAATTTATTGTTCTTATTTTAATTCAAAAGTTACATTCTTACCCTCGTTATATACCGTGAGCATTCTCCAAGCCTTTTATTCCTTCCAAAACAAAGAAAATAACTGAAGCCAATGGACCTAAAGGCAGATCATAAAACTCATGAGCAAAAGGCTTTGGAAAACCATTGTGGCTGTCAGTGAAAACCTCAACTAACGCTTAAGAGCAAAATTGTTTCCTCGAACAATAACTGAGCCCGTTTTGACTGCGTGGAGTTGCAGCCTTTAGCTAGCCTTATATAGTTCCTTCTAAATGTACATTATTTCCTACACAAATTCTGCAAACCCTTCCTTGGCCATTACACAATGTTACTTTGTGTTAAACACTTCGACAACTTTTTTTCACTATTCAGTATTAACGCAGGCAAAGGAAATGGGCTACGGCCATAGAGTGTCTGCATGGCTGCCATCTTGCAGACCAGTGTTTTTGTTCCACAGGGTATGCATAAGGGAGATCTCCCTGTGGAACAAAAGAACTGCCCTGCAAGATGGCTACCATGCAAAGCCTCTATAGTTTTCGCAATTACTTTTAGCGTACCATAGGTGGGCAGACATAGCCGTAGACAGTAGTGCTGCTTCTGTCAGAGGTCAGTAACATCTGGGTGTTAATTTATCTTTGAAAAGAATGGCTTTGGTTCTGAACCTGTACGAAAAAGGTCAGGTTCCTAAATTGTCTTTTCACCGAGACAATAAAAATCGCCACTGGAAATGTCATTTTGTCAGCGTTAATGATACTTAAAATATGCGACTGAGATTAGGTTAACTTTCTGATTCGTCACAAGTAGTGTGTTGTCAAAAGTACCGTGTGTTGCATTACTAACTTACAGTGCAAAAATTCTGCTCAGCAAATTGTGAAATTGACCTTCAACTTGCCTGATTTGGTAAAAGTTCAACCGATCATGTACACATTAGTTAAATAGAAGTGGAAAATAATTTTACTGCACCATAATGATAGTACTAATAATCGAAAATTTATAACGCACCGTTTCCATAAATATGAACAAAGGCGCAGTACAGGGACAATCTAAGAAGGTGAATGGGTAGAATGAAACAGAATAAGAATTGAAGCAATGGAATGCGATTGCTTTCAAGCCCCTTGGCCGCTTGAACCCAACTACTGCTTGAACCTTGACCGTTGCAGGGTAGATAAAGATCTTCACAATGGAGCGATTGTTATGAAGCTCATACGTCACAAGTCCAAAGTTCCCACCTAAATGATGACAAGTATTTTCTGGTGGTAGGTCACAATTACATCACCACAACAGATTCCATGTTAATTTGAGGGCCATCTTTGTATCTGATTGTTTTGTTGTTAGTCTCTGAAATGAACTACCTTGCAAGTGAGCAATCAGGTGAGTGTTATCACTTTTATGGTGAAGTTTGACTTGAGATAGGTGCAAATTGTTAATGTTCCTGTTGACACTGCGTCAGTTAAAACCAAGTATCATTTAATGGTTTGACATTTTGATCACCATGTCAGGCAAAAGGAGCGATTGTTTATTGTCAGATACAAATGCTGGATGTGGGTAACAACCTTAGAGAACGATTTGAACTGACTCTTTTTACATGATGAAGTTAGGTTCGAGTGCACACTTGAACATATCAAACTAAATACTTGCAGAACAAGGACATGGTTGTGTGGGGTTAATTTCTAGAGTATCAAAGACATACAAAAGACGTTCGCAACGCTTTCAACTTTAAAAGTCTATTGAGCAGTAAACTTTGTCACGATATCTATTTTATATTATTATGTCATCAAATATAAATAGGACAAGCTAGGTCCTTTTTGTTTCATGAATGCATTCTCCACAAATAAAAAAATTCCTAAAATGGTCTACCTTTACTGTTTAGCCTGGCAAATGGCCGTTTTCTAGATACATATACTAAATATTTTAAGACAACTTGACATTAAATATGCCAGAATAATTTCGAATGTGGATTAAATAGCTATTGTAATAAGAAATCGGAGAAGCAAGTGCAGTTATATAAGTTGTTGAAACGAACGCGTTGTTTAAAGATAACTTTAAGTTCTCTTTTTTTTTCAAATATCGTGAATCCACATTTAAAATGATTTCACCCGTAAAGCCGGCTTGCCTAATGCACCGGTCGATTCATTGCACGAAATAGTTGCATAACCCTAACTGGGGCGTGAAACGTGTAAGATGTATCGTTGTTGAATTTTTAGACAACTTTTCCCTTACGAGTGAGATTAATGCATTGTAATTACGAACACAATATTAACCCTCCAAGGAATCCACTTCCCCCCGGTGCTACAATAATGAACGCGAAGTCGTGCTCTGCGAAACCACTCTGAATAAGGCAATGTTTCCCGTTGGTTCTTCACAATAGCACCCTTCCACCCTTCCAAGTACGCACAGTCACTTTCAACCCTTGACAAAATGACTCACCACGCGGAAAGCATCCTTTGCTCTATCTGATCTGTCCTCTTGGGTATACAGCCAAATACTTTACACTGGATAATGATAACAAACTACCCTTCACCAACATAGGAAATTGTTGGCAATGACTTCCCTTCTTTCTATCTTTTTTTCCAGACTAAGCGTGCGTCTTTCTGATCCTGCAGACGCTGGCCGCACTAGATTTGTAATCTGGCTCGACATTATCTTGAAGGATGGATACCCACTACAACACCAATCACCATACTCAAGTCCATCACAACCACCCTACGGTCGTGACGACTGCTGTACCCATCGGGTCAAGAGAGGGTCCTCGACCCGCAGGGACAGCTGCAGGAGCGTACATCACGTGCGCCATTTTCTTGGCCGTTTCTGGGTTTATTTTTTTAATCGTCGGAATTATATTCAGCACGATATTTGGATTTTCCACTACGATGGGGGTCGTGGGGTTGATCCTTGAACCGGTGGGCATTCTCATGTTGGTTCTGTTCGGTATATTATGCCGGAGAGGGCGAATAGAACAACGGCGAGCTCTGGTGACAGTGCAGCGAAGTGGAGCAACTACCATTGTGTACGGTCAGCAGCCCGTATCGTCGTTAGCTGCTGTTCCACTACAATCTTCAGGAAACTATGGTCATCCTGGAGCGCCACCCATAGGCCGGCCAATGCCACAGGGGTCCCCAATCGTCTACGGACGATCGGGGGTAGTTGGCTACTATCCATCCCAGGCAGCGATACCCTCTGCACCCCTTGCACAGTATGATTAGTTTGGTCTTATTCAGTTCCATATCGGTTCCTCGTCATGCTGCAAAATACAGTTACTGTAATTTGCGGCATGACACCAAATTACAGACAGACTTCCATCACTTACAACTACAGATTACTAAAACAAAAACGTTCTGGTGACCACTGTGGTACTATTATAAGCAATGGTTAAGTTTACTTGTACATGTAGCAAATAAACAGAATCGACCTTTACTACTAACTCCAAAATTCCCATGCTGTGTTTTTGTTTATTTAAGAAACTAACACAAACACTAATTGAACCAATCTATTTAAGTGAAGATTTGAACTCGGCATTAAATCCTTTACGTTGATAAACTGACATGTAATATAGCCGTATTTTTATTCATCTTCTTCTTGTTTTACAATTATTCCAATAGTCATCCAACTGACCCTTCTGCAATGGCCGATCTCCCACCGAGTTATGATGACGTAGTCAACAAAGAACCTACAACAGATGAGTAAGCAGGAAAACTCCGAAGACATCCAGTTACAGTTCAAGGATCTCTGTTGCATTGTTGAATGTCTCAACCCGCTTACTAATTTCTTCATCAGCATGACGAACTGCAATTATTCTATCATTTTCACCTGATCATCCTTGGATTCATTAGTTTTCGCTCAATGAAGAACTGGTGGAGAAAGTGTAGTTGATTTGAAAGGAATTACCATTAATCAATTTTTCCTCGCTATTTTACCGGTATTCAAGCGGGCGCTGGGCCGGGCATGGCAGTGGGCTTATATCCGGTTCGTAAGTGTGACGTCACTTCAGTTTAAACAACGCCCACTGCACATGCACTGCACATAGAGTTACATGCATGTAAACATCGCCGTTTACATGCAACCATGCAACTGGAAGTTAATGCGTAACTTCAGCGATCGTCCAATGGGAGCCTGCAAATCGTTGCGCGTCCACCTCTGTGACGAAGTCACTTACGAATCGGATTGGGAAATGTTTGTGACCCAGTGACCGACTTGCTTGAATTGCATTGCTTGTGAGTAATTACATTGATTATCGAAATGCAGCCTTTATGGCATCATGGAAAGTAATAAGATACAACACAAAATGGTAAGTTAATTAAAAGTTAGTACACTATTATTTATTTTTATTTCCTCAATTCAAGCAGACCGCTCAGCATGTGAACAGAAACAATGAAAATTGCAGGTTGAAAGTTTAACACTGTGTTGAAATTGAAGGAGAATCTGTTAAAGTCACCAACAAGCATGATAAGTAAAAAAATTCAAAGTGGCCTTGGTGCCCTTTCAGTTGACCTTGGTGCCCTTTGGTTTTGAGAGCATTCAAGACCAAGTGGCCTTGACCCCCTGAAGCTTAAGGTTGAAGCCTGCCAGTGGTGTCAGCCTCCTCCCCCATCCCTGCTTAATCCCCTCCCCCCATCTCTCTATCCACCCTGTCCTCAGTTCACGCCACAAAAATATTTTACTTTTACACAAACAATCTAATTGGAGCTTACATAGGAATTGTCGAATAAAACAATTATAGAATTAAACAAACGAACTAAGGTCCGCTCACAAGGAAAGTTTGGCTAACCGAAATTCTTCACTGTAAGGCTGTTTTGTTCTAGTTAGGTTTACATATATAATTCAGATAGACCTGATGTATTGAAGTGCTCTTCTTTGAATGTTCCATGACACTTCCAGAAGCAACCCTTACCTAACCAGACGAAATAAAATCTTAGCAACAAGGAGGCTGTCCTATAGGGAGGACATGGATAATGCAGCTCTTGTACATGCTGCGTATCAACAAAGGAGCCAATAACAGAGGTACAGCCGGTGCTGATTTTCAGTGTTATAGTACTAGTACTCGAGTACTACTCGTCGACTACCGTTTTCAGAGTACTCGCTCTCGTACTCGGACGTCCAGGCACTCGTAGTACTCGAACTACAGTTCTTGTACAAAATACTCGGAACTCGACATCTGAAACTTGTACTCGAGCATCAATTGAAGTACTCGTACAACAGTGCTCGATAAAAAAATCCTTTAGGTTAACTCAGGGTGATCTTTGTTCAAACAACGGGGCAGAAACCGAGAAAGAGGAGTGGCTGTGGCCCCGTCCTCTTTGTCTTTTCACTGACAACTTTGCAACGTGACAATTAAAGATGAGCAAAACTGTTTATTTCAGGTGTGACGTTAATTCCAACAGATTTACCACCTATCGTGCAGAGTGTCACAGATAATGGTCGCACATCACCTATGTTTCACTGCCATAGGCCGTGGAGACATTTTAGTTTCTGCGGTCGCGCATGCGCAGCAGCCTTCAGTGTGCTGGCAGCTCACTATTTATACTACCAGACAACGGAAGTGATATTTTCGTGTGTCTGAGATCCTATAATAAATTGTTCGCCACTTAATAACAAAATCCACCGGAAGGGTTACAATTCTGGTAGTGTGTGAAACAATCATGGCAGATCTCCTCTGTTTTAAAAGAAATTATTTGAAATGAGCAAATTAAAAGAAAAATTAAATTTCACGACATAAAACTAATCGAAATCACATTCAATTTTTGTTGAACAATTCAACATTTAAAACTCCTTTTTGAAATATTTCTCCAGTTTTCCCAAAGGAAATTGCCATACTGTCTAAAGACCAATACTTGCTGGCATCGTTACGGGTATTTTGCAGCTGGCAAGAAGTCTGATGTTTGAAAAAAAGCGTAATTTTCCAGACCCCCCAATAAGCAGTGTTTATACGCGAAACACGCCACTAGACACGACACTAGCTACTACGTGCTGCTTCAGGGTGCCTGAGCGATTTCCAGGGGTTGCACGGACGAAGTCTTGGGCCACGGGTTGGCAAATTACCCTGTCGAGGCGGAATACCGCCGGAATGTTCTGAGTCCAGACACCGGCAGTCGACGATACAATGTCCAGTGTAAGAAGGATGTGTTACCGTTCCTTGGTGTACGGGTGCTCTAGCGTGGTCCAAATCGACTTTACCCAACAGTGTTGCCAAATCTGTGTTGTAAACTTCAAAATCATTCATTTAAATATTATTACCTTCGCAGTGCTTTCAGTGTCGTGAAATTGGTCCGAAATTAAAAAAAAAAGTCGCATCCGAAAATTGGCACAAATTCAGTGTGAGTGTTCTGAAAAGTGGTGCACTTGAATAAATCTTAGAAAACTCCACTTTTTTTAACGTCGACATTTCTTAGAAATTGATAACGAGAAGTTATTATTATGCCTTCACCAACAGTACTCAAATGGAGCTTGATTTTATAGTAATAAAGGCACGTTGAGAGAGTTATTGTGCACTTTCAAAATACAGAATTTCATTGGTCATTTTAAGCCGGTAAATTAAATGAAGAATTCTTTCAGCGCACTAGGGGCCACAATAATGTTTTACGAACGTAGGGAGATGCCATGTCTGTTATTCTCAAATTAGGGGTCAATATATATGCTGACATTTTTCTGTGAACCTGTTACATCCGCCCAGTGGAACCTGTCACTAATATGGTCTTCAAATAATACACGTATTTAATTAGTAGGTTATTGTATTCTTTAATTACTCTTGGAAATTGAAGAATGTTTTCTAAACTAACAAAATCATTTCGGATTAGGCAGGGAAAAAACTGAATCCCATAATGAGTAGAAATACCCATGTACATCCAAAACACAATGAGTGAGCTCATATTTCTTCTAAATAGCACGTCTGAATCGAAGTCAAGAGTCCCCAATGCTTGACAAGCTCTCCATCTTGACACTGACATTCATGGAGTGCTTCTTGTTCCTCCCAAAGTCACCCATTGCATTAGCACAAAATAAAATTCCACAGGCCAAATGATGGAATTACTGCAGAGATCAAAATTGAACAGGTGGCCTGGTGATATATATTTTTTTCTAAATCAGCACAGGTACTGTAGACATATTCCTTGAGAATGGTTTCTAAATATCACTGAATGAACTCATTAACCTCTAACGTATTTTCTATTTCATCTTTAATGAGTTTCTTTTTCTCTAAGGGCTTTGTGGTATTTCCATTTATGAGACTACATATATAAAATTCAGAGGTACAATTTAGATTTTTTTCATTGAAATCCTGCTGTAATTATTTTCTCTTTCAGGGCAGATTTGCAGAAGACATTGCCATAATGTGGTGTCAAGTCTTCCGGTGCTAACATAATTCAGATACATGAACATGTAAATTATAGGATACCTTTCTCATTAAGACGATTAAACACAGAGTAACTTTTATAAAAATGTCATTGTTACTTTTAATTTAACATGAAATTACATGAGAGAAAATGCTTTATAAAAATCAACTGAGAAAAGAAATATGAAAAAAAAAATCGTTTTGTCATTGATACGTCATGTTTGCAATCTACATATTTCAAATGGTAAAAATACCTTTGCACTGTAACAATGTTCGTACTGAATATTCTGATCATGCCAAAATAACCCTCGTGACCATACAATTATGTACTTTCATGTCATACAGTAATAAACATGAACAATCAAAACAGGTCAATTACTGGTTTATTTCAATAGATTCCTCTACTGTTCTTGTACTGTTCTTATTTCCCTGCCTTCAACAACCATGCAAATTACCCATCACGTAGCCTTACCCCCAAAGGCCATACAAGGTTGAAATGTAAAAAAAAAATTTGAACCCTTGAAAATGATCTCCCCAAAAATACTTGGTTCTGGATCTGTCCTCGGACATGGCACTGCTGTGCCTAGCATGATATCCTTGGAAGAGCTTTGGCCATTCACCTCTGAATACATCAGCAAGAAAGTCAGTTTGAATTCTTGTTGCTGAAGATCAGTGTGCCACTGAGCTGAAGGAAAAGCAGAGTTAAAAGAAGTTCGGACTATTGTGACTCCAAACCAAGGAATAGATTTTCCAGCTATACAGGAGATATTGCCAGGCTGAGCCACAGATTTAAGATCAAGTCTTGACCAGGTTGAAACAAAGTTAAGACGTCAGCAAGACAATTTTGTTGGCTTCAGCCAGTTCTACACTGGGTATGGAAAACATCTTCAAGTTGGCAATGAATACATGTAGCAGAACCATTGTCAGGCATAGGGGTGAAAAACCAAAATGAATCTTAAAGTGTTTCAATACAGGCGATTCACAATACATTGCACCACCAAGAGTTTGCTGCAGACAGGCCACTTTTCAAATTTATTGTCGACACGCTGCTCCGATTAAGCACATTCTGCTACATAGCTTGGGGGTATTTGACTGATTCAGTTGTTCCCTACACCACACAAAAGGACCATTTTGACTACCTAACACCCATTCACAATACGCAATTTCGAATTTTCAACCAATATAAACCAACAATCAGAAAAATTGAATGTTCCCATGCACAGCGCAGATTTCGCAACTGTATAGCCCATAATGTACTGTGAAAAGGCCTCTCCATGAAAATCTCTTGGTGGTACAGTGCATCATGAATCGCCCATGTTTTTGTTGTAAAATATTTCACTTTTTGTTAAAAAACAGAATATTCATAAAAACGATTCAATTGAATTTGTCATGTCATTCAATTCATTAAAGAGGTTACATTCTAGAATACTTACAATTTTCTCTGGGCAACCTTCCAACAGAAAGCATAACTCTCCATATGCATCTCGTTGAGCATGTCATCCCGTGGATCTCAAGCAGGGAAGTTGGCCTTGGATTCCAAGGCTAACAGGGTGAGGAGTTTGTTCATGCCAGACTGGACATCAAACTGATATGAGGAAATCCTGAAAAACAAAATTTATTTATATGTATCATTAAGCACCACAGTAAGTTCAATCAATTTAAAAATGACCAAAAAAGCTTCACAGAATCACTTAATAAACTGACAGGTATGATCTGAAGGCTTACATAATGAGGTAACAATATGAAAACACGTGCTTGCAGTTGTACGTGAATCAGAAAGAGTTCCATGCATAAAACACGGACGGCACTTGACATCCTGTGCATATTGTATATCTATTTCTACGTCCATGGTGTATGGGACTGGTCAGAAGATTTTAAGTGTTTTCTAAGTAAACGACTTGGTTTTTTTCCTTCTAAATTGAACTTTTCTTGACATTTTTGTAGGGAACAATTACTGGCGTCCGTATATCCCGAAAAAACTGTTGCGTTGCCTGATCCACATGCACCGGACAACGACTATGTACCACCATCGACTAGGCTACTCAAGTTCCCAATTCCAGATCTACAAAGTATGACCATATCTCTTTAAGTTGTGCAATTTCAAACGATCTCTTGATCGACTTACTGCGCATCATTGTGCAGCACCCGTAACCTTAGCGTGGTATGCCGTTGTGGGCATTTCGATGACTGAAAAAAGGTATTTTTTTATTTTTCGGTACGTACTTATACATGTACATGTAAGGAGGGCGCTGTACATGCTGAAAAAACGTAAAATAAAAACTTACCGTTCTCTTCAACAGGGCTCCTTGCCCATATGAGACTCATTCCACGCCTTATTTTTGTTTTTCCAAACATAGTTTTGTGGTGGCAGGCTCGGGAAAACTGGAGAAATATGTCACTGTCCACCTCAAAAGCTAGTGATTTTTGCATTTGTATCAATTACATTCACAGTAGACGTCGCCAAGGCGAAAGATACATGTATCTTTTGAAGTTATACTTTCACAAATTAAATTGGAAGGTCTGAAATTCAATTCAGTTGCGGAGAAAAAACAAAAACATCAATTTAGAGATGATGATATCCGATACACTCTGAGCTCAAAACTGCGATAACTGGGCAGCAATCTTCAGTTTGCACGGGTGCAAAACAATTTAGCATGCGCACAATCTAAACGGCCCACTGAAACAGGTGACGTGCTCAGCTCGTCAAGCGCCAGAGGCACGTAGACCTGCATGCACGCAGCAAATTCCGACATGCACCAATTGTTTATCGTTTCCATAAAGCACGCCACATCTTGACTCCCTTAAATAAAACAGAGCAGTGCAGGGCAGCCCAGGTCATTTGCATACCTGCCACTTCTACACAAAGCCTGGTTATTTACCGAACTGCTACGCTCCATGCTGGTACTCATGGCAGCTGTGAATAACTGCCACATAGTACGACTGGATTCCATACTGCACACTCAGGCCGTCAGCTAAGTGAGTAGCAGTGTCAGTTTTGTCTGTGGTGTTATTCATGTAGGTATTACAATCAATCCAATTAAATTAATCTATGTAGTGCAATTCTTTGTAGTGCATTTCTGGGGGGAAACTGAAAGATTCATAGATTATTTTGTGCAAAAAAACTTGTTGGAATAATTTGATGTATTGCTGCCCAATTCACTTCCTCTTATTTGATAATTTACTATTTGTGTGACTACATGGCATGGCATGTCAGCCAGCGAGCAACCCTTTATCTAAAATGTTTTCAGTTGTCGAGTTTTGGGTTTACAATTTGACCAGAGAGACACACAAAGTGAGCATGCGTCTTTTTGATTATTACATCGGAGCAACAGCGCCATCTATTTTTCACCATATAGGAATAAGTTCGATATTCGGACATCACTTGACATCTTGTGCAGAAATCCTATGAGACTGATGTAGAAAATTGTTTTCTGAGTAAATGCTTCAGTTTGACTATTTAGGGCGTTTTATTACTCTCTGTTGGCTTATAACCACTGCAAAAGAAGGGAAATTACCCAGAATAAAATTTACAATCTTGAATGCTTATAAAAATACTGTACACTTTCATACTACAACGATCCGGAAAAAATGTCTTTTTTCATCCAAGGTAGAAAACGGAACTGTTGCTATCCAAAGGGAAGGAAACTCAGATTTTTATTCCGAAAGGGATACTTTTTCTCATCAACGCCACCTCTTCAAAAGGTGGTTAATAGTAGCGTTTTGAAAGTTTGGCGCTTTCATTAAAAACAAGCACACACAAAACGGGTGCAAAATTTCTGTCTCCCGCTCAATTTCCCTTTGGATGCAATGGAGGGCGTCGATCTTCTGGAGGAGAAGAGGAAATAGGCTCTACACTTGCTTACAGCTCCTTCATGATCACAGTTGGAGGATTTTCGGGACTTGTGGCGGTTTCTGTTTCCGGTGTTTCATGGATTTATTTCACAGCACCACCCGTCTCTAAATAACTCGATGAACAATTACTTGGCTTCTCAGGCGAAGTAAAATATTCACAGCTTGTGTTTTGAAGACCGTCTTGATATCTGAACATGAATTTATCGAAAGTCGAAACCCTTAAATTATGTTGGTTACTTTCCACAAGTAGTCGACCGGGAGATCTCCAAAAGCGTGTTTTTCGAAACATCACGTCCAAATAATTGCTCATGCAAAGCGCCAATGGAATTATGCGGCTGTATATTTGAATAGTATATCCCTGATGCAAACTTTATATACCAATATTATCAACGACCATGCAATGTTCAATTCTCTTGTTCAGCCTGTTTCTTTCAATTTTGCGAGTTATCGAACATTTCAAACGTTAACGACTGCCAGAAATGTGAAAAGATAAGGGCTATATGGAACCTAAACTCTCATCTCCTCTTTTCCCCCAAACCACACGCCGAAAATAATTATTTTTCTCACTCAGTCATACAAAATGAAAATCTGCAAACTGCAGAGAGTACATGTTCCATTTGAAGCAACATAGCACAGAATATGATAAATGTGGAAGTTAAGTGCACTTCAGAAAACCTCGCAAGGAATTATCATTAGGCCCTATTAGGCCTAATTACAACTGAAATATGTCAATTTAAATTTTTTTTCTAAATATATTAAAGAAATGTATGTGGAATGAATATTTGAAGAAAATATCTTTTTTTTGCACATTTTCTGGTTTGGATAGTAGAAACGTGTAGGTGTAGTAATGCAATTCATTCCACTAAGTTAATTTTATTGCTCATATAAACTCTTACATACACAACTGCATAGTAACCCTCAGTCGACTTTCTGGTGGGATTAATTAAACAAATTCCATCCAAATTATCTCAGTCAATGTCGGTCGGCCTAGGAAACTCAAACTGAATATGCAAATATGCAAGCCATTGCATAGAGTGCATTATATTACAGGCTTTATGTGAGATTTGATGACGTCACCAATGATTTACATTGTTGATGGTACAATAAATTTTAAACCCATCATAGAGGCAGGCGTTATTCAGTCAAATGTTGATTGTGCAACTGCAGAAGTCGGTATCAGAATGTTTGGGATATATATGGACATCCAATTTGTAAAAGCTCGTTTGAAAAAGGCTACTGGGCGAAGATGGATCGCTCTGGACATTTTTGAAGCATTGCTGCGCTTTATGACTGTCTGGTTGTTAATTGTGCACTGAAATAAATGATAAATCATGGAAATTAATTCCGCTTGCAAATCGCTCCCCATGTGGGATTTCTTTCCGATAATGCTTAAACTTACGTCAGCTTTATTTCAGTTTGTATGTGAAATGTCATTCCTTCCCAAGTCATTTTCTGAACTTTTTTCACTTTTCAGACAGTGCGGTACATAAACAGTTTTGATTCTCCGCAGAAATGGACAAATACGTCACATTCGAGGAATGTATGTCCCTTTATCTATATTTTCATTTTCAACAAATCCTTTTAGGAAATTATTTAAAATGTTGTTTCATTGGTTACAGGATTCTTTACAGTTTACCCGTTGAAATTTCAACAATCCTATGTATCTCAGTTTAAGACATAATAAAGGCAAATCCTAGTTTTCAAGGACGCCTTTTCTTTCTTTTTCCTATGCATGTATCTCCTTCGGCTCTTCGGTCGCTCATGAGACTGTTGCCCTGTAACTTTCCGATTTTAACTGACGTTTTGTCACGAAACTTACAAAAAATCTCCGACTTCGTCTAGATCGTGACATGTGGAGGATAACCAACCAAGCCATATCTCATGTACCAAAGGATGAACAGTATAGCGAATATGAAGGAATCAGGCTCCCACTTCATACCGCCAAGGTAGTGGAAGACCTCAAGACATGGGAAGTAAGACACGACGACGTGTGGATCATAACATATCCTAAATCAGGTAGGAAGATTGTAGTTAAAATTGGAAGAGAGGATAACGGATGCAGGACGAGACAAACAAACTGACAAGCACAATAACAGAGACATGGAGAATACTGGGAAGGTCTTGATAATGACAAAAACCGTTAGTGCATGACCAGGGATCTTTTGTTTGCGCGCCCCCATCCAAGACGATCGCCAGGGTCGAGTTCGGGCGGTCTGTTCTTGACAGGGGTTTCTTTTTCGCGCTCGAACGGCGGGAACACGACTCAAGAACACTGTTCTCGGAACAGAATCACACACCACCTCCTCGTCAGGATTTTACAGGAACACACGGAAAAACTCGTGAGATTTTGATTTTTGAACAGCTGCAGAAAGTAAAAAGATGGCTTCCAAAGCCATAGACCATGGGAAGTTTTGCAAAATTAACATTAATAATTTTCTGTAACACAGAAATGAATGTTCCTGTTTATATAGAAAAGAATTCAGCCCATCCAAACATTAACTCTCGAATAACGTAGCCCACATAAACGCCACCATGTTGCATGTTGCTTGTCACTAACTAGCAGCGATAAACCGGTTGTTTGTTCCCGTCGTTCGAGGGGCCGACCCACGAACAACAAATGGAGCTGTTCGTGAACAAACGGGAACAAGCCGCCCGAACTCAGCCCAGGATTACGTTAAAGGTCTGCAATGGGCTAATGTGATAGCGCCCTCATTAACGCTATCTCGACATCATGCCCTCAACCCCACCCTGCTTGGAGGGAAAATTGTGTTGTTTTGTGCTTATTTATTTTCCATTTGCACAATTATTCTAACAAGCCACAGCAGATTTCGTCGCTGTCCGGGGGGGGGGGGCGGGGTCGACATTCATTAATTTAGAAACTATTGTTTCATTATATTTACTAGTTGCGAAAGACTCGATTTGTATGTTTGTTTTGGACTCTAGTATACGGGGGTCTATTTAGCTCAAATAGGTACTGACGCCTCCAGTACGTCCATTTTGCGGTTTAGGATGGGGCCGTTGGCAAAGAAAGGGTCTTACTATAGCTTACGAGCCTTGCCGTTGATATATCTTGGTGAAAGTCGGGTCTTACTATAGCTTACGAGCCTTACCGTTGATATATCTTGGTGAAAGTCGGCTATAACTCTGTCGAAAACTGAATGCGGATTTGTTAAGGTAAGTCTGGTTCCTCCCGCTCCATTAATTGACTCTCATCACTGTATTATTATTGGTGTTTCGGTGACAGAATTTTGTTTACTGGCAGGAACAATTTGGACCCAAGAGATAACGTCAGCCGTGATGCATGATGGGAACCTTGACGCTATCAGGGCTAGGCACGTTCTCTTCCGGGTTGTTTATATCGACAAAACTCTACCCGCAGAAATCAGACGGCTGAAAAATGTTAGTCGGTGACAGGATTGTAGTCGAGCCCCTGGCAGAGTCACTAACACATTCTGTGAAAACTTACACCTGAGGATTACTATAGAATCCAACCCAGGATTGGCTGCGTCTAATGATTCACTGACTTGGCCGCCGACGTGTTGTTAATTGATTATACCGGTTGATGCGTGGATATTGTCCACCGTAACTAAATAATTTATAGACACGACCATGGCTCAAGTCTATAGACTTGGCCACGAGCTTTGCTAGTATGGCTTTTATTTGACAATCTCTTAAAATAAGAAATAGCATTGTAAATGGCAATTCTGATTCATCGTTCCAGCACACGACTGTCGCTGGTTGAATGAAAGCAATAAAAGGTGGGTCATCGTTCAGTACTAACACGTTCAACTAAAAATTACGCAGGTTTTCGCTGAATCATTTCCCCTTCAGGTTCCTGACAGCCATCGACTCGCTGAGGAGATTTCATCGCCTCGTGTTCTCAGGAGCCATCTCCCGGGCCCCTTGCTACCTCTTCAATTATGGGAAAAGAAGCCGAGAATTATCTACGTCATGCGTAATTTCAAAGACGTAGCGGTATCCTACTTCTACTTCATGAAGATGGCTATCAACGACAGGGCAACTCTAAATCAGTCCTTTGGGGAATTTTTGGATGAAATGATGTCAGGAAAGGGTACATATTACAAATACGTTCAAGATCTTTATTTACTCATGAGTTAAGGGAACAATATGGCCGCTCCTTAAAAAGCTAGAGCTTTTCTTACTGACAGCACTTCGAAGGATTTAACTCAGCAACTTGTCACAATATGCGACTTCCATGACAAAACTTAGTTACTGACACTAGAATCAGACGGACAAATTAAACCCGTGTGAATATATATTCAACCAGTTTGGACAGTTTTGGGGAGGGTTCTTGCTTTATTGAAGTGTTTTAGCCTCGAATTTGTTAGCTTGTACTAATAAATGACAGGAATAATGACTTTCAGGGAGACTATCGCTATTAAACTGAAGTCGTTTTGCGTGACCATCTGCAGACAAAACTGTTGATTGTTCATTCACACGCGCAATCTCAGTTGACTAATTTCAGTGATCGATTTTCCCCATTCAGTTCCGTATGGAACATGGTGGGAGCATGTGTTGTTCTTCTGGAAGAGAAGACACGAGAAAAACATCCTCTTTCTTCGCTATGAAGATCTGAAGGCGGTGAGTCTTTAATTTTTCAGACCTATGGTTTATATCTAGCCTTTATTTTGCATTGAGCCTGTACATGTCTCTAGCAGTTAGCTCTTTTATTTTACTACATTGAAAGAGCTGTGGTCTTATTTGATGTCGAAAATAATTTGGATTTGTTATTGTTTATTGTAATCATACTCTTCTTCATGTTTAATTTTAAGACTTTAACTTTAGCAATGAGAGATTTTCCCTGTAGCAAATGTCCAGTTGAGGAATGGTCGTTGAAGTGATGGTAAACAAAACAGTTATCCAAAGAAAATAAAGTTTATAGAGGTTGTAATACCGTGTGGGTTTTTAGTGGAGATTTTATTGATGTCCAACATCAGGATTTGCGAGGAAACGTGGAAAAGATCTGCAATTTCCTGGGGAAGGACTTATCTGCGGCGTCACTTGATGCAATCACGCAACACTGCTCTTTCACGGCCATGAAAAGCAATCCTATGGCACACATTGACCTCATTTTTGATCGACAAGGGTTGCCAGAGGATGTAACCTTCATGAGAAAAGGTTGGTTCAAGTCGAAAAGGCAACTCTAACTGAAATACAGGTAGTAGACGGCAGCCATAGATTTTACTCAAAGATTTGAAATATTTTCACTCAAAAGAATCATTAACAACACGGGTTGATACGAGCTATGCGGCCCCTCGGTCAACAATCGCACAGCTTTGGACAACATGAAAGAGGAAAGAGAAATAATCGATGCTTCTTGCTTTGCACAAATATTGTTATATTTCATCGATCATGTTGTCCAAATAATCATACTTCGATTTCCCCAGGAGAAGTCGGGGATTGGAAATTGCATTTTACCGTGGCGCAAAACGAAGTCGTGGAGAACCACATCGAGGAGAAAATACGCGGGAGTGGATTGACCATTAAGTCCTAAACGGATGCATCAACGCCCAAGTTTGGATAGTAAAAGGGAGGATAGCAAACGTAGTTGCAGCGTATCTTGCTGTCCCAGCTGAGGTAAAAGGAAGGTTAACAAATTGAACCTTTGCTTTGGAAACCGACTGTGTAGATTTTACACCTGATCAAAGTTGTCAATGTTGTTTAATTTTTCCTAGTGGCTGGACTAAAATTGAAAATATCTCTGGTTTAAAAACGTTATTTCTTGGAATATTTAGATAATCTTTGGATTTTTGGGATAATTTTGGTAAGTTTTAGCTACATTGGTGCGTTTTCGCTTAAGTACGTCTTAATTTTTGAACCCAAGGAGAAAATAATACTTTCAGGAATAAACTTGACCTATAAATTTCTTCTGGGTATATATTGGGTATTTCGGCGATTGTTATTAGGAGCATTTTTTTTCCAGTTCGTCTATTTTTCCACTCCAACTATTCACCTCGGTACATTGTTGGTGACGGCAATGATTTCAGCTGACGGCAATAATTCCAGCGTGCCCTTTATTAATGCAACTATTTCTCTGTCCTTGTCTCCATCACTCGTGTCTTCAATGTCTTGACAATTTTGCTGCCAGGGTGCCTCTATTTAATTCTGAGGTTCTCATATCTTGTTGGCACCGGAGGATGTTCAGCTCGTTGAAATTAGAATATAACATGACATCTTGGGGAAAAAATAATTCATCTTTTTGAGTAACTTTTATTTTCATGATTTTACATACTAAGTAAAAAGAAATGCATTTTAGACATCTATCTTTAGCTAAAACCCATCTTTAAAAAGATGGGTTGGCCCTAATGAAAAATTGCCGAGTGTTTAGCAGCGTGAAGATATTAATTGTACTTATTCATCTTTTTGAGTAACTTTTATTTTCATGATTTTACATACTAAGCAAAAAGAAATGCATTTTAGACATCTATCTTTAGCTAAAATCTTTAAAAAGATGGGTTGGCCCTAATGAAAAATTGCCGAGTGTTTAGCAGCGTGAAGATATTAATTGTACTTGTACTCTACCAACCAGTTTCTGGAATAGCCCTATGATCCCGGGCTTCATTTCTCTCTTCTCTCTACCTATATTATTGTATTCTTGATACAATAGACATCGTTTACATCACAGCGATTGAGCCGTTCTTCTCATTAAGTATTATAGCTCGCCACTTATGCGCAATTCTCCAGGGTCTTATGCTAGACTTTGCATATGCGTCATTACCCGTTTTAATCCAATTACCATAGCAACCTCCCTATTTCTCCGCGGAAATCATCGAAATCATTTATGAGTGACATTGGAGCTAACGAAGCATGAAGCCTGTGGTAAAGTCTACCAGTCGCCACCGGCACTGCTGATGAAGCTGCCACCCAACAGACATAATATTCCACACCCAATGTTGAATAAGGATCTCCGTCGCATGATCTGCATATAATATATTTGTATGACTTGTTAAAATTAAACAGAAGGCTGTTTTGGCCTCTACCGACGAGGTGTGACAGTAGGCCTGTTTGTGTGCTTACCATTGTGAATTATTGGATGAAGTGAAACGATGGCAAGCCAAGAATGTAATAGAATTGGAGTTGCGACGTTCGTCACTTTATGGCTTGGATTCATGGTATGTCAATATGATTAGCATGAATTTAATTTAATATTTTATCAGTTTAAAATAAATTAGTATCGCTCAAAAATAATCATCATGGTGTTGGCATTGCAATATAAATACTAAAACGCTCCCAAATTGTAGCAACATAAGAGTAACCTCAAATATGAAATAATAAAATAATTGCACTGTTAAACTAAAGGACTTCATCATAACATTTTATAAGGTAGCCATCTGCGTTTCATAATTCAGTTTGGTAGTCTGATCTTGCCAGTCAACTTTTGGCAGTCAACTTTTAATTGTTGCAACCAGCAACAGTTAGCAGCACTAAAAACCGAGGGCAGATGTCATACGAAATCTTTGTGAAATGAAACGCTGCTGAAAACAAATAGATACAGACAAACCAACCTTTCTGCATTGTCTGAAGAAGAGGACATTCATTTTACAGGTACTTTCATGAATCATTCAACTGACCATCACCCGCAGTGAGATTAAATCATTCTTAAGCAGAATCATTTCCCAAAACTGACTTCAGGAAGAGTTAATTCTTCCTTGTTTTTAAAGTTCTTTTATTATTCTAGACCGATTTGTCAGGGAAAGACGGATAGAAAAATTCACACATTAAGTAAAAGCATACAGCCAGAAGATAAAAGATATCGCATGCAGACAAATAACGGCGCTTGGGTAATGCATCTAAAACTGATAAAATTATCTTTGTTTTCCTACGATTAATTCTCATTTTGTGTGATTTTTTTTCTGCGAGGTTTCAAAACTTTAGAGTAAAGAAGGATTTACTTTACAAAATACAAAAATTGCGCGAGAGCATTACAAGGCTGTGCTCATTCAGCGACTCGAGCTTTGTCCTAATATGCTGGTTGCAGCCAGCAGAAATAAGTGCCAAACACTGGGAAAAATACTGTGTTCTATAGCATTACACCGGTTAGTGTGTTCGCGTTCGGTGTTTCTCTTTTGTCTGTGCGTTAACAATAAATTCTACTGTAATCGCTTTTTAAAGTTTCTACCATCCTCGAAGAGTGAATTGATTTCCATCGACCCGTGAGGCAACAGTCAATTTTTATCGCAGAACAGAACCATAGTGCAGTTGTCTGTTCAAATAAACTTAACATTTTAAAATAGACGATTTATACGCCACATTGTAAGGATTCACCTGCCCATGTCATGTAAACTAACAAACTATCAATTCACCGTTTTGTTTACATATCAACAGTAAGTCAAGTTTATTTTCAGCATCTAAAAAGCACACGAACAGTTAGTGTGAAAATTTACCTATTTAAACAGTTATGTTAAATAAACTAAATATCAAAGGGTAAGTTGATAGGTCGTGCACGATACTAGAAGGGAAATTAACTTGAGGAGTCAAACAAATTTAATGTCCAGCATTTAACTTATACATGTATATAGTAGCAAACTGCATCATGGAACTGTAATTTTCTAAAAGGCTAAAAACTTCCCAGAGAGGACCCGAGACTCGCTGACCTCAAAAAGGAACTCACCTTTCACCCTTAGTGTTGTGTCTGGGAAAGCAATGTGTGTTTGTCGATGACAATTGAGGGGTCCTTGGTGGACGCTGCGTGGAAGGGGGCGGTAAAATTGAAAAAAAAGAAGGGGGGAAAGGGGGTAAACAGTGAGAGAAGTGAAAAAGGAGAAGGCAAGCGAGAGAAATGACCAATTTGGTCGGAAAGGTCGGGAAAAAATTAAAATCGACCCTGGGTTCTAGCTGATAAGTGGATTTCATCAGCAATATTCATTTTTGCAGTCAGGTGAATCTTGATATTCCAGGAGCTCATTAAATTGTGCTGGATAGAAAAATAGTTTGTTAATAGGATTAAAAACCAGTTTAAAATCGTACCAAAATTTGCAATGAAACGATTAAATTCTTATTATCCTACTTACGGTAAGAAATCCGAAGTCTTTCACGCAAGGAAACTGAACGATGGACGACATGGAGAAAGTCTTTGTCCATAATGATCTGAGTCTGCTAAAAGAGGTTCAGTCTGTCAGTAGATCAATG